TTCCTTGCACCTTCCCCAGCATTATAGACTTCTCCAGAGAGCTAGGTCTTCACATGTGTCCAAAGTATGACAATTTGAGCCTGGTTATTTCTGCCTCAAGTGAGAACTCTGGGTGATCTGTTTGATGATCCATTTGTTTATTTTCTTGGCTATCCATGGTATTCCCAAGAGTCTTCTCCAACACTGAAGTTCAAAAGAGTCAGTACTCTCTTCAAAGTACAACTTTCATTTCCATAGAGTGACACAGAGAAAGCATTGCCTGCAGAGTTCTAATCTTGTAGGTATGGACACATCCTGGCACCTGAATATCTTTTCCAAGATCTTCATTGCTACCATACCAAGTGCTAGACTGCAGCATACTTCTTGATTGTTGGTTTCTTTATTGTTGATAGTTGATCCTAAAAGACAGAAGCTATCTAACCACTTCGACATCTTCATTGTCAATTGTAAAGCTGGTTGCTGTACGTGTTGTTATTAGTTAGGTCTACTTTATACTTAGTCCCATTTTTTCACTGTGAACCTTGACTTTCATTACTAGAACTTAAAGATCATTTGTATTTTCAGCAATTAGTGTCATCAGCATAGTACAGGTTATTGATGTTTCTTCTTCCAGTTTTAAAACAACATTCATCTTCTTCCAACCCAGCTTCTTTCAATATATATTCCACATATTGTTTGACTAAGTAAGGAGAGAATATACAGCCTTGTCTCACTCCTTTGCCAACCTAGAGGCAGTCCGGTTTGCCATGTTCTGTTTGTACTGTAGCTTCCTGACCTGTTTACAGGTGGTCCTTGATTAACAACCACTCGTTCAGTGACCATTTGAACTTGCGACAGTGCTGAATGAGTGGTACTTATGACCAGTCCTTGGAGTTCCAGCTGTTGCAGTGCCCCGTAATCACATGATTATGATCCGGGCACTGAGCCCAGATTTTTACCTGCCATAGTGTCCCATGGTCACGTGATCGCGATTTGTGACCTTCCCTGCCGACTTCCCACAAGCAAAGTCAATGGGGAAGCCAGCAGGAAGTCAGAAGTCACAGTCACGTGAGGTCCTTGCTTAACAACCCACACAGTCTTCACTTAACAATGGCAGCCAGGGACTGCTGGAACTGTTGTCACTAAGCAGTATGGTCACGTGATGTCGCGCTTTATGACCGCATTGCTTAGCAACAGAAATTCCAGTCCCAATTACCATTGTTAAGTGAGGATTACCTTTATACATTTTGCACAAAGACAATGAGATGCTGTGGGGTTCCCATTTTTCTAAGCACATTTCACAGCTTGACATGATTGACACAATTGAAGGTGTTTCTATAATCAGTGAAGCACAGACTGACTTTTTTTAGGGATTCTTTGGCTTTCTCAATTATCTAGTGTGCATCAGCAACAATTTCTCATGTTAGTCAGCTTTTTCTGAAGCCAGCTTGAACATCTGGCATCTCCCTTTCCATGTAGGGCTCTAGCAGAAATAATACATTTATACATGGATACATAAAACTTTCTCACACTTAAATTCAACACATCCAAGCAAAATTTGGTAGAATTGGTAGATCAGGTAGAATTGGATTCTCTTTCAGCCTCTATTGTTAATTTGGGAAAACTGATAATTGAGCACAAAGTCAGGAAGGGTGATAATGCACATGAAGTGTTAACAGTGGCATAAGCAAAGATTGCTTCAAAAGGACAGTATCGTGATTATTGAGGACAGAGCTGTTCCACCAAATCTCCTCACAATAGCACCCATATTACCTGACCTGTCCAAGATACCCATGTATTGGCACAATCACTCCATAAAGAAAGTCTATGACTAAGTTCATGTGTCACATTAAGCTATTGTTTGTTATTGCGGTTGCTATGGCTATTGCTACTTCTTGAATAAGCCATAATTGGCTGGGTTCACACAGCTTGCTAAGCCAACAGCAAACAAATTATTTTATGGTTTAACAGAATGTGTGATCCAACACATATTGGAGTTTATAGTTAGACTCTATGCAGGCAGGCTATACCAATGCATGCATATTGGAAGGCAGGCAAACATGATATTTGAATCCAAGATATGAGTCCACACCACAATCATATTCTAAGTAATTACATTATATGCCATTTGTGTGATTCATACATTCAAGAGGCTTCAGCTGAGTTGAAACTAGAGCACATTAGGGCTGGGCTGTTGAACCTAGCTTCAAAATCAGGATTCAGCCTTAAAAAAATGAAGGATAAAGACATGTGCAAAACATAAAACATAAAGATTGCTTGCTAAATTAGACTTAAGTTCATCTTAGTTCAGCATTTGTTTTCTTACTGTGGCCAACCAGATGCTCACAAGAGGTGGGGACATACCCCTCTCCTGTTATTGTTCCCTTGCAATCAATACTCGGAAGCTGCTATCCCTTTACCTATAAGTAAAGTTTTCAAGGATAAGGTCCTTGGTATTTGTTCTCCCTGAATTTATTCAAGCTCTCTTTAAAGCCAGATGAGTGCCCTAATGAAGCCATGGGCATAATTAACCATAAATAAGACCACTTACAGACTTGCTGTAACCAATTTGCAAAAAAAAAAAAAAAAAAAAAATTGCTGATAAAATTGCTTGCCTCTGTTCCAGTTTAACTGAGAACAAAACTAAGGGTTGTGCTAATAGTGTCTATTCTTGAAGTATGTAGACATCATTCTTACTTTAATGGAGAGGTATCAACTCATTCAGCCTGTGAATGTGGACAAATTGTTTAAAAGTTTGAAACTATTTTGGCTGATGAAAGGTGCTAAAGAACCTCCTTGAGGAAAAGCAGGATTTAATGAAAGTTGCTATCAACTTGAAAAGAAGCAGCAGTGAGACTTCTGCTTTGAGAATATTCTTGTTGGACCTTGCCCTTTAGATAATCATTGGCCAGTCTCTAATTTAACATTTCTTAGCAAGGTGTTCAATTGGTAGCAACTCAACTTCAAACTTTAAGTTAAATAATGGACCAGCATCACCCCCTTTCCAGCATTTTATGGAAGTGGTGGTTAAAAATCCCCCACTCCCATTGATTTGATCATATGGAGAAGTGAAAGTCTAAGATCTTCAATAGGAAGCAATCTGCTGCCTCTTCAAGTGATGCTTCATGCTTCTTCAGGATGCTCCAGAAGGGAAAAAAAAAAGAGTTGTATCTCTGTCAACGTACCCTGATGATCCATCCCAAATTCTGTTATTGTGCCATGCTCTACATACTTCCATTGCTTAAAAAGGGGCTGGAAACCTGTCACTTTAATTTAAATCAAGTGCCAGTTCTTACCTGTAAAGCCCCTAATGATTTAGGAACAGGATATTGGGAGGAGTTCCCCTCCTGTGGAATCTTGTCTGCCTCCAACCTTGAACATCAAAGGTAGAGAAATGGAATTGAATTGGGATGTCTTCTATTTCAGCATCCAGGTTGTGGAACCCATTGCTTGGACAGGATACTTTCATGGCAATGCTGTTTGAGAAGTTGTAATCGACAGGCACTTCTAGAAGAACAGCTTCTTCATCTCCCAATTTCACAGCAGGAATTGTTTGACTCCATTGTCATATTGGGGAACATACTGGGGAATGAGCAAGTTTAAACATCTACAGAGAATAAACAGATGGGGGAAATTCAATTCAATATTGGAAATGCACCCACATCTGGAGGAACCCTAATATCTAAAGGGTACCAGGATGGCAAAAGCCACATCAAGCTGCAAAAAAAATTGTCATGAAGAGCACTAGGCTTTACGAGTCTAAGATTTCAAAATATAGAAGTAGCTCAGAATTTCATAACCAAAAATACACTAATGAAAGGAATATGATGGAAAGGCAGCCTGGAAGAGACATATTAAAAAGCTTTCTTCAAAGCTTGCACCAAGGGAAGGAAGCATCCATTTGTTTCATGTTATATGAATATTGTGACTTTTATAAGCCACCCTATATGTTGTTTTTAAAAGAAAAAGATATACAATTAAACGTGTTATAAAATACACTTTTGTCTCTTAGTGACCACTAAGAGGGCTGAACTAGATTCTAGTGACCATAGTACTAGAAAATATTTTTAGTTGAAGCTTAGGGTCACATGCAGCCCACAAAAATCTTAGATGAGGAGGGGCCCAAGCCAAACCCATGCCAAAAATTGTTTCCCATGCATTTATTTTGTTGGCAATCATATGAGCTGGACATCATTAAACTTATGTGTATTATAAGTTTACAATTACAAACAATTATTATGAATGGTTGTCCTGCCTACCTCTGGAAATCCACCTCCACCCTGCATACCACTGAAAAGTTATGTATGGCCTGTACCCCATTAAAAAGTTGCAGGGCTGTTGCTTTAGAAGTTAAAGTGATTATACTTCCTGTAGTATTAGAGAGTTTGGAGGAGAAGTGTGGGGGCGGAGGGCAGGGGAGAGTCTTAGGTCCCCAAAGTTCACCTTTCTTGAAGCAGAGAAAAGGTTTGGAGTGACATAAACCGGATTTATTTCCTGAGATGAAACAGTGGTGGAGGAAACAGCATCTTAACCTAAGTTATCTCCACCCACATGTGAATAAAGAGGCTGATTGTGCAGTAAAATTCTTGTCCGGACCGGAAAGCGCCTACAAAGCGCTTTTTTGGCACTCAGCGAACCGCCTGCCCGCTTCCTTTTGAGCCAACAGGTCTTCATCGCATTCCGGGAACTGCTGTTCGTCCGGCCTTCTTGTCCGCCGCTGGAGGAGCGTAAGGACTGCGATTCCTCCTGTTGCTGCTGCTGGTGGTGGTGGTGGTGGTGGCGGCGGGGCGGCATAGCCTCGGGCTACGCAAAGAGGCCCAGACAGTCGTAGCCTTCTAAGGTAAGGCTGGCTCTTTCCAGCCCAGCTCCCCGCAGCTCAGCAACCGAGCAGCGAGAGGAAAGGTGAAAAAGTCTGCCTGCCTTATATGGCCATGCTTGCATACTTGAGCGACGTGAGAAAGTGGCGTCATGGAGCTGAAAGAGATGGGGGGCGGGGGGAAGGGGGTTGGAGGTTCCGGAGCCGGATAAAAGTGGCAGTTGGGGTAAGCCGGACGCCCCACCCCTCGGATGCAAGCCGCCTTCCTGCTGACACGCCCGCGGTTTCTCGGCTGTGCGGCGGGAGACACACCTGAGGAAGGGGACGGAGCCAGGCTCCCGAACCGCGGAAACTCTGCCTCGCTGCTTCCCCAGAAAACAGGTCCGTGCGCGCCTCGCGCTTCTGCAGGCTCGCGGCGACTCAGCCAGATTCCTTATGAAAATTGGAAGAAGCCAAAAGGAAAGGCTGGCCAAGCTGGCGAGCGGTCGCTTTAGAGTAGGCGGATGCAGGCCTGGAGCTTTTGCTTCTGGTAGCTTCGCTCTCAGACGACGTTTAAACTTCTTGTTCTGTTCTCACGTGTTTAGAACGTTTCTCAAGGACTGCACTTAGCTGAAGTGTTTCTTAATGTTGTTGGGTAACTATAGCAATTACATAGCGTGACCACCCTTTGAAGATTAAATAAAATAATTAAAAGATACAGGGTAAAAACACAGTGCAAAAGGCAATTACCTACTGTAATAATTAGGGCAAGTCAGCCTGTCTTCTGAGTTTGAGGACATTTGGGTGTAAGATGGAAAGCTCTCCCTCCAATGTATTATTAAAGAGCTGGTTAAAATGTTTTTAATATGTTTTGATTTTTATGTGTTTCAAAGACAGTTCCTCCAGGCGCTACATGAGCACCTGTTTAGGAAATTAATAACAGTAAAAAGCTATTTCCATATGTAAGGTGTTGATTCAGGCAATTACTGCTTTCAGTGGGACACATTTCACTCAAATGAGCCAATGACAAATATTTTTTCTCCAAAAGAATGAAGGAAGGCAAGAAGCTAGCCTTGCTGCCACCATCTGGCCTTACACAAACTGGCCAATTTATGCTTATAAAGATGCTGCAAAATCATGTGTATCGGCACTAATTAGGAGGAACCACATTCACTGAGGAATAAGTGTAATTCCCCAATGGGACTTGTAATGTGGACTGGATTCAGAAGTTTAGTTATTACCCCTTTGTTGCATCTTTCATTTTGCTATCAAAATGCTATTCTGAGTTGATTGAGCATGCTTAGTCCTCATTGAGCAATTTGTAGGATTTTTATCTTTGGTAGTTCTTGGTGCTTCCTAAAATTTTTGTCTTAGATGCAGGCTGCACATTTGTCTCATAAGAATCTGTGGCATAGATGCATATGGAAGAGAGACAATTTAGAGATAAACCTGTCATCCACAGATGCTGAAGACAACAGCACAGATTTCATTTCTGCAATAAATTGTATTAAGTAGTACTTCTTCACAGAGTAATTTCCCAGCAAATGCATTTAGTTGTTTAAATTTTAGGAAATACTGATCCTTCCATAATAGCAACAAATAAAGGGATTTGGCTAATTAAAGCAAAGATCTTAAGTTCTTCCAGAAAGTTGTGTCTGGATTGTAAGGACAATGTGACTTTTCTTTGTCAGTGCCAATTGGCTAATCTGTCAACAATTCCTTCCAAGGAACTGGCCGGAAAACTTGAAGAGTTTCCCTTTATTTACTTTGTTCTTCCAACCATACCTGTATCATATAGAAGACAAGAGGTACCTTTTGCTTTGTTTTTCTTTCTTTCAATAAGTACTCTTACTTAAATCTAAATGCAAAGGTTTAGAAATAAGGGGGAATAATTTCAGTTCTGGTGGAATATATGTACAATTTTTTTTTAAAAAATGTCTAAAATGACTGGTAAAAAACAGATTGAGCTTTTCTTTTGTCCATGTAAATATACATAACATGCAGCTGCCTAAGTAATAAATTTGGAAAAAGATTTTTCTGCTGTAGTCCTTGGTTAGCCATCAAAATTTTCTCTCTCTGCAGAAACAAGGGTACTTAAGGTCTTCTGAATCTGATCTTTCTTCCACAGATAAATATTTTTACTGAAAGTGCTCACTTAGGCACAACAATATCTACTAGGTTTCCATGTTCAAACAGAGGGCAGGAAAAAGGATTCTGCAAAGCTTGCATTGTTCATGCACTTAATTCAGTTCAAAATCCTAGTGTGGGGGATGTTCATCTAGCATCAGTGCAGCTGTTATAAGCAGAATCAGACATCTGTATCATAAAAAGCATGTCCTCTTAGAAGTGAAAATAAACTTGCACAGTCAGTGAAGGAACAAACTATTTTATTTCCCTCTAGCATTGTTTTAACTATAAAACTATGCCATGAATTATGAACATAGAAACTGCTACACGGCTTCAGATCATGATTCTGTTTGAAAAAAAATGACATTTTTCAAAGCTTCAGCCTTAGGAAAAGCCAGCACCTTTGATGTAACCATTTTTCAAAATCTCATAATACAACAGTTTAATCTTTAAACAGCATGCTTTTTTCAATGTTGGTAGCTTTGTATCCAGTGATAAAAAGCAAAATGTAAGAACCCACAGGGGAATGCAGTTGCAAGTCAAAGCAACAGTTTGGTATGCATATTTCTGTTTCATAAGTCAAAACAGATACACATTCTTTCCATGTCACAGGATTGTTTTTTTACTGTAAATGAAAGAGATAAGATAGGGAACAGCTCTTAAGTCCATAAGGCCAACCCTACTATTTGGCAAAATGAGGCCGTGGTGTTAGAAGGCAGAGCTGAAGATACCACCACATTCCTTCTACCATCTTGCTATCTTCAGATGTTTAGAAATAGGCTGTCCCAAGTGTCATTGTCCTCAATAGCTCCAAATCCCACTGTCTTCAAAGCAACATATTTGCATAGTTACATTTTGCCTTATTCACAAGGGCTAAAGTGTGTGTTTGTTTTTAAGGAATGTGACTCTTCTACTGTAAATTCTATGCATGTTTCTTCAGAATGTCATTCCCCAGAGTCCAGTGACACTTCAAAATAAGCAGGCATAGGATTCCAGTCTTCAAGCTAAACTAGAAGTAGTGAGACAAATTTGTAGTGTGAACTTGAAAAGCTAACACTGGGAAGGAGTAGAATCTCAGTTGGATCAGGATTCTGGTGCTGAGGAATAGTCTGCAATTCTGGTTTGTCATGCTGGTTTCCTAACATGACTTCCATCCCTCTATTTGCACTAGTACATTTTCCCCAAAAGGTGATTTCAGTTAGGTGAAGGAGTTAAATTCTGATGTGCACCCAATTTCACATGCCTGAAAGTAAGGCGTGAGCTCTTGAATCAAACCTGGCTGTACCATTGATGGAGGAATCTAATTTGTGTGGAACAACAGCAGATTGCGGATCATCTCCCTCTACAAAAATAAGGAGGCAGCCTTTCCTGGAAAGTTAGTCTCCATCTATGCAACAGTTGTCCCATGAGTATAAGAGAAAGCTAGATAGGTAGGTATGCTTAAAACCTTAGTTTCATTCTCAAAGATTTTATTGTTCTAAATCAAAATGAGGAATATGTGGGCTTCCAAATATTGCCAAACTACAACTCCCTGGAGCCCCGATCAGCATGGTTAATGGAGGGGAGGAGAATGCTATTAATGCTGTAATTCAGGAGGATCTGGAGGACAAGAAGATGCTCCTGAAGATATATACGAGAAGGTTCCTCATCCTTCTCGTATATATATTGTCTGTGGCCAAAATGACAACTTCCTGAGATGGAAAATTCATGAATGAAATTTACATGTCAGGACCCAGGACTGTACTGAGCCCTGAACCAGCAGATAACTGAGGGTCTTTCCCCACTGCTGAATTGAGCTGCTCTCTACCCATCCTAAAGTCAGAAGAAAATCATACCAACATGAAATGTGCTCTCCCCATTGCTGATCTCATTTGCCTATATTGCCTCTGTTTCAGGTGACTGCAATCACGTGACTTCCCTCTAAGGTAATGGATGCCAAAGGCTAACTATTTATATACCCTGAAATTGCTCTTGCATGGTATCAGAAGAGAATTTAAGCCTGTCTGACTCATAAGATGAAAGCAATGACAAACACAATCCCCCCAAAAGATGTTGCTAGGGCTTGTTTGTGCCATGATTATGTGCGTGTGGAGACACAGCTCTAAGAATGTCAATATGCTCATCCATCTCTATAAAAGGAATATTGAACAATTAGAGATAACAGATAGGGTGGCGGTGAGGAGTAGATGCTCCAATTTTTCCCCGTCTCTGTGTTTGGAGCTCTCCCTCCAACCTTAAAGGGAAAGAGATAACCTGTTCTACAGCTCTGGCAATGCTGTCCCAAGGGCTTTAAGATTACAACCTTCAAGCATCCTCACTATTTTTGCAGGAGCTGTGTGTGTCATGGAGATTTTTGTATCTCAAAAATATGTTTATTAATTTTGCATTTTAATATTTACAGGGGTTGATCTTTTACCTTGAGATGCTTATTATCCTTTATTTTATAATCTGCATAAAGCTGCATGTTTTAAAGTGAAATACAGGTATTTTAACAGTACCACTACCATCTGAAATTGCAACAGCAGTAATGGTACTATGAGAACATCTCTCTGTAGGACTAAATTTGGAGAATCATTTTTATTCTTAAGGTATGTTCCTGTAGCAATATCTGGCCACTTTATGTATTTCTCTGCTTTCCTTTCAGATAAGAAATGCTTTCTGTTGATAACAGAGAATTTTTCAGGATCATCAAATATTTTAAAAAGATGCCTGTGATTCCTATGTCAGCACTGCTGCCTTCTAGAAGAGGAGCATTAGAGCTTCCTGCTTTATGAGGATCAAGTTCTTTGCCCAACTGCATTGGACTGATGAAAATCTTGGAACCAAAGTAGACGTTAGATGAAAATACAGATAAAGGAATATGAGAAATCTGGGTTAGACCAGTGGGCTATCTGGTCTAGCATTCTGTTTGACACAGTAGCTATGTACTATATTCATGAAACTCATAAACAGGTAACAAGAGGCCCATTTCTGAGTACAGTTAATAACAGAAGTTGCTGCCAAGAACCATCTGCTTTCCTCAGAATGTAAAAAGAAAACAGACCAGGCCCTTTTGTGTCAAGGTCAATTCTGTCAATGCACTGACTCTAACTTCAAGAAAACAACTAATTTAACAATACGTTACCCATCCTTCGTCAGCAAGGTATGTGTTATTTGAACCACTGGCTTACTTTCTGATGTCTGATAGTTCCTTTTTGAGAACAGTGAACGACACAAATTGTCTAATGGCCTCTTGAAGTCCTAAGAGACTTCAAGAAGCCATTAGGCACAATGGATTTGGGGAAGCAGTAAGCATTTATCCCTGCCTAGGCAGGATCTAGATCAGAGTTTCTCAACCTTAGCAACTTTAAAATATGTGGACTTCAACTCCCAGAATTCTGGGACTAGAAGTCCACGTATCTTAAAGTTGCCAAGGTTGAAAAACATTGTTCTAGATAGTCTTTGCCCCCTCCTTTTTCTTAGTCCACACATTGCCCTCTTGATAGAGCATGGGTGCAGAGCCTGGAAAAGATGAATCTCTTTGCCATATTTTCTTCTGTGAATTTGAACCTGGAAACAGAGTTTGGCTTCCCCAGGCATTCCCTTAATTGTTTGATTTCTGGGAGGGATCAGCTATGTGAAGGAGAGGCCAGTGAAGAAACTGGCATCTTCCCTTTTCTTTTTACCTGCACCAGAGTCCTGTCATGCTCACTCTGATGGGTTTGTGATGCTCTAGGCACCCTTAAATGCCACAGTTTTACCTTACACTTCAGACAAAGCGAAGTTCTCATATGCTTCTCACAAACTGGTGACCTCTGAATCTGTGAGATCATAGTTGTTGTTACTCCAACCAGTATGTTAGTTGAGGGTGATAGGAGTTCCAGCCCAACACATTCAGACCAGAAGGAATCATACTGGGAGAAGCTAGTTTTATCTATCTGCCAAATTGGGGAGCCAAGCTGCTTTTTGTACTAACTGCATTCTGCCCTGTGATGCCTCTTTGGTTCTTTTCCCACTCTGGGGTTGTGAGGCTCATGATGTGATTAACCAGGTCAATTAAAAATCTTATGCACAACACATGAAGCATAATTGCCTTTAACTTTGGTTAGGTTTCCTGTGGCTTAGTCTGATGAACAAATCCAGGCCATTTGTTTAGTTTATGAATCCATATATTGTGGAAATTCAGAAAATGAGTTTATTTAGTAACCAGGGTAAATGTATTGTCTGGACACAGCCACTCTAGCAATTAGGTAAGAATGTAACAGTAGCTTCACATTTCATGGCATTTCCTAAGTCCATCCATAGTTGCTACAGCTTTGTATCACCTATTATATCTCCCATATTACTAAATCGAGACCCCCTGAGTGAAGAGGAACTTGGAGGCCACTTCTCACATTACTGAATGTGATATTATGTATGTGGCTATAGCATAAGAAATTTATTAAAGTAAACTAGCATAGACATGGAAAAAAATGTTGGGTCCAGGTGAAGTCTGGCCAGTAAAGACTTGCTTCCATTTGCTGTCTTTCTGGCTTTGGGAAGGGTTGGGCAGCTTCATGTAGGAACAGGAACAATCATCTTCATCCTCTTCCTCCTTTCTAGTTCCTGACATAGATTATCAGCCAAGTCACTAAGGCCATTTTTTTCCTAAATCCAGACATGAATGCAGATTGAGATGGATCCAGTTAATCCATCCAGAAACTCTTGGTGCTATAATACCATCATACATTTCTCCATTTGGTCAGAAAGGGTAGACTGGAAATGGGACAATAATTGCCTAACATGTTGCTGGTCACAATCCAATGCTGACCTGAGAATGATTAGACCCACTGATTTTTTTATGGCCATAAACATACTCAGAACTATTGGAATAAGGTCAGAGGGAAACTGATCTGTTTCTGTTCACCACAAGGGTAGAGAAAATCATAGGAAAAGATCTGGCCTCATTTCTCACTGCTCCCCCACAAACTGGCTGGGTTTAGTTATGAGTCCCATTGCCAAGGGTGGAAAAGAGAAATTTTCTCCACATCTGAAATTAACATATGTAACAGCAGCTATAAAGAAAAAAATAATCTCCATATCTAGTTATTCCAGAAAACACTCCCATTTTTTTTTCTTTCTAAAGAGCCACTGCAAGAGTTCAAGGCATATAGCTGAAATTTTCAGTAATTTTGATCAATTAAAATTGCAGTTGTTGAGACTTGTAATCTGGTAACATCCTCCCAGCAAAATCCATTTCTAAGCATTTCTTCCTTATACCTGGATGCTTTCCCTGAGCATGCTGATATCTCCCCTTTGTTTCTCAGGAGCCACATTTTGGTCTTTTCTCCAGTTTTTATTCTTGATTTGCATAGCCTGGTGTTTGATCACATGGAAGTTACTCCAGGCTACCGACATTTGTTTCAGAGTGTGCCTCTAGGATGAGAGCTAGAAGGAACAGGACACTCTACGGTTAGAACTTAGAAGAACTCTTGAAGTTGTGTTCGGAGCTACTAACCTGTAGGGCTAGTAGAAACAACTTGTAGAGCCAAAAGCTATCACGCTATTGGTCTTACTTACCCTTGACTATACAGCCAATGGCTTCTACATGAAATCGCTGTATTTCGCTGCCAGGAGTTTTCACTGCTGAAGGAAATAGCAGAAAACAATATGTAGTTTTTCTCTGTTAGGAATGTGCCTAGAATGGAAGATAAGAGCAGCTCTCCTAACTATGGTTTGTAAAACCAGAGATTTATGTAATAAAGACACTCTACCTTTTTCAGGACATGCAGTTCTAGTCTTGTTTTGGGGTGAAGTATAGAAAATGAATCTCAAATAGTTAACTGTCTTATGCATTTAAGGCCCGTTAGGGGATACCACTAGCTTTGCAAGCATTTGGCCTGTTTGCCTTGTTATTGCTATCATGATTTTTGAAGTGTTTGAACATTACAGAAAAATGGAAGAAAACCACCCTATGCATGCTGACAGTTGGAATGTGTGAAACTCTACACATGATAAAAGGAAAGAGGAACAAGCAAACTTGCCTCTCTCTCTAGGCCTCCTCATCACTTTTCTTACAGAGAAGTATACTGTGTGCCACAAAGACCTTGCTCTGCCTCTGAGATTCATTCTGATTATTCACATTTCTGAATTGGGAGGAAAGCCTCTACAGACAGAGGAGATGCAACAGCAATGCGGGCACTTCATATCTGGAAAATGACAAGACTGAGGAAGTGGGGTAGTAAAGCTCGCATGCTTTGTCTCACTTGCCATCAGTGCATACAAGCAATGCATCTCTTAGAACATCTGAAAAGGGCTTATGTTATTACCCTGGACAATAGTCACCAAATTATCTCAAAGTCATAGGCCAACAGTTCAGTATCTGCTTCTTACATGGGCTCACCAAGTTATTGGGCCCACAGTCATATATTTAAGATGGGCACCCATATTAAATAAATAAAGTCTATTGTGCACACCAGAAAATCATGTTACCAGAAAGAAAATGAGAAAAAAGTATCTCCTAGACATTTTCTATTTTCAAGTTTGGATACCAAAGACAGCCTAGAATGGATCTGGTCATTTCTGAATAGGCAGCTCCCAGGGTGAAGAGGGTAAAGAAGAATAGGAGAGATGTTTTTCCCATGTGATCCTTACTGTGCTTTACCAGAGAACTTTGTACATCCCACTCACATCTATCTTCAAAAGAGTGATAAAGAATCTAACATAACCTCTAAACAGAAGCCTGTTATGTGAGCACAGCCAAATTTTCTCTATTGCCTTTTTCCTTTATGTGTGCTTGCTATAGACTGATAAAGCCTACATGTTCTCTGCTGAGCTATAGTAAATTCTGATCTTAAATGCTGATGGAAAAAAGGGAAAGAATAAAGCTCTTGTGCAGTTCGTAATGCTTCAATCATTTCAGGCAGAACCTGCAAGCAGAATGATGCAAAGCTTCATCATTCAACAGGTGAGTTCACTATTACTGTACAGTGTCATGGCAAGAATTTTGAACTGGGACAAAGGAAACCCAAATTCAAGATCCAGTTGACCATGGGAACTCATTGCATGACTTTGGACTTGTCACGCTCTTGGAAGATACTCCACTATATTTCCTTCTGCCAACCGTAGTTGGTACATTTTGGCTACTGAACTTGCTTATTTGTTTATTTGTTTGATTGACTTTATATTTTATTTATATTTCGAATTTAGACACTGCCCATCTCACGAGGAAGCTTTACATCCTGTTTTTTTCTTCAGGATCTTAAAAGGAGTATACATAGCATTCCCTCTGATTTTTTTTTTCCCCATTGGGTTGACAAATAGAAACTGACCCAAAGTCACCCTTGAGCTTCTGTGGTTGAGGATGATTTGAAACTGGATCTTCATGCTTAATCCTCCCTGCATTATTTTTCAGGTTTGTTTCCCCTGAGATTTTCCCGTGATTGTGTATTCCTATAAACCTTGGGATTCCTCCAAACTTGCTGCTCCCTCCCTCTCATAAATAGATGCTGCTGGTTTGGCTACACAAGACTTTATGCTTGGACAGCTGAGCATGCTCTTGGTGTGTATAAAAGGGAGTTCTTAGATTTTCTCTAGCAGCTTACAAATACTGAACTGACTATAACACTCCTTGCAATAAATCAGATCTCAGCTACAGTGCTTGAAACTCAGGACAAGGTGCAGTATGATGATGCACATATGGTATGCATGTGTGTGTGTAAGGCTTTTCAGGGACTCAAATAAGCTGAAGGAAACCAGATACACTCCCAATGTGTTGTCTCTCCCTCCTCAACCCTAAAAGAATTTGACTTCTGATCCTATTTTTCTCATTGCAAGCACTTTCCTGTTAGTGACACTTTAATGCACGATACAACATATTAAAACCATGCAGTGGAGCTTCTGAACAATGACAGCATTCACTAAAGTTTCTGGGAGTAGGTAAAATTCACTTTTGCTTTCCTAGCTGAAGCCGTAAAATACATCTAGTCCAGGTTTAAATCTCAGCAGCCATTCAAAAAACATCAAATGAGTAATCTTTGTCCTAGGATAGAGCAATCAGCTAATTAGGAAGGTCATCTCTACCATCTCATTCAACTGACATAACAAAGGCTGATGACAGGGCTTCAGGAAGGAAAGGTTATTTCTAATTAAACCACAGTAGATGAGGGACTACAATATTATTTTGGAATGAGACCTATTTAAAGTACTACACCATCGCTATGGCAACAATGAACTGTGCTCAAGCGATAGAAAGACAGGTAGGCCAACAAGCGTTTGAGGAAACTTCCATTTGATTATGTTCTGAACAATTACTTTTGCCATTCCTTTTATACTGAAGGTCAAACAGCTATAGTCAAAAACACTGTGGGACAATTTTCCCCATATTTAAGAGTACACAAATCAGTGCAATTTTGGGAACAAAAAAGGCAGGGTATTTCTAGGGTCTAGGTGCAGGGTAGAAAATGAACCAGCCAAGAGAGAGAGAGGGAGAGAGAGAGAGAGAAACAGCCAGAATTTGGTTTCAGTTTCTGATTAGTGATCATCACTTTCAGTGGCTGGTCTGAGCTTTATTGGCTCAAGTAGCTGCAGGGCCTTTTCCCCACTTGCACCTAACCATGGGATGAACATGCCCTGTCAGTCTATTTTTCTGCCAATTCCCCTTGACATTGCCTTTATCTCATCTCCAACCCATTCTTGAGGCAATCTTAAATCATCCTCAGCTATTCCGTGGCAGTTGTTTTTCCCTTAAGCAGACAGCAACCCATCGTAACTTTCAGGTGGGTACGACATGCCTCAACAACCAGTCAGTGAGGCTGTCAGGTGACCCCAGGAGGTGGAATCTACCTGGCACTATTGGCTACTTTAGCCTGGTATGGGCGCACCTCTCCTCTGGTCCCTTGACAATTATTGCCAGGTAGGAAGGACTCCAAGTTTAGAGTAAAATGCATTTAAAATGTTATGAGCATTTAAGAAATAAGATTATTTCATTTTTACAATGCAACAGACTTGAAAAAAACAATTGTTTGTATGTGATTATATTGTCAGATCCTCCCAAGCTAAAATAATGAATTTATAGGTTCTTTTGAACCATGATTTCTTTTCTCTTGGTTGATTTAATAAGCCATCATGGCTGGGTGTATACATTGTATTGGACCATAGTATGGCTTTTTTGTGGACCAGTCATGATTGTTTATTCAACTAACCATGATTAAAACAAACCATGCCTTAGCATAATGTATGAACCCAGACAAAGTCTCCAACTGTTGTTTAGTTTCAACAAATGAAGGAATGGAGGACAAATTAGTGGAATGGAGTGAGAGGTTGGGAATCACACAGTCAGAGCCAACGTTGCAGAAAAAAGATAAAAGGCAGCCAGTTCCAGCCTCTATCTCTCCCACCTTAACTCTCTGAACTTGAAAGAGAAACAAAGCACAGCGTTGATCAAAAAGGAAAGTGATAATTAAGAAGCCAATATCTCTGCACTAAAGATATTTTTCAATCTTGCATTAAGTTGGTCTTTCAAGCCTTAACCAGAAGCTAGTGGGATACCAGTAGCATATGCAAATGTCAGCATCTTTATTTAGAAGCAGGTTCCAGGTAATTTGTTCAATGTAGCTGATTCAACTTGTTTAGAAATGAGATTTTAAGACTGCTTAAAGTTGCAGCTTGAAAATAGGTAGGTAAGTGTAATCAACTAATGTTAATTATTCAACCCATAATAAAAAGCTCTGAAATTCTCACCTATGAAAACTCTCCTGTGGTTTACATTTTTCCTGTGCCTGACAGGAGATACATGAAGTAGCAAACATGTAAAATGAAGCTCCAAGTCTTCTAACTGAAATCTAGAATGCTACATGAAGTAACTAACATAGCTGAAAATTAGTTCAAGTTTTATTTACATAGCATTAGAAATGTAATTTTAAAGTGTATCTGATACTGATTGAAAAGGTGCTGTATTACAGAGGATAACAAGTCTTAAAAAAACAAAGTACAACCTTATTAAAGCAACTTCACTGAAGTTAGTCAAGGCATCAAAAGGCATTGAAGCCGATGAAGATTAAAGGAGTTCTTGGAGCTTTTTAAGGTCAGAAATTTTAGGGCAAGGACTGGGATGTCCACAGGGGGGTCCAAAAAAGTCAAGATTTACCTTGTCCCGGGGTATCTGCAGGGTGGGGGGTGGGGGTGGGTCAAAAAATCAAGATGGCAGCTACAACCATGCTGTTGGAGCCCTGCCCCTTTATCCCATGCATGTAAAAACGGGAGGGACTTCAATTGCATGGTTGTAATTGCCATTTTGACTTCTTTGACTCCATCCCTGCAATGAGGGAATTGGCAGTTTATTGATCTGTAGGGAAACAGGATTAGGGCAGCTCTGTTTACCAGCACTAAAAAGAAACCAAATGTGTCTCATTCGTTGGGAGCACAAGGCTACCTGAAGAAGCAAGCAGACAGAACAACTGACCAGCAGACCAATCTACAGTTATAGTGCAATTCTTAATACAGTTGTGTATAGTTGTATATAGTTTGCATGACAAGAATAGTTGTCATGCAAACTTCTAGAACCTTATTCATTCTCATAGAGGTGACAATGCAGTGGTTGTAAGCACATGTGAACCAATGATTGTATCACTTGGTCCAGTATTGCATCCGTTGCCATTGCTAGGCTACCAGGACTAGCTGTGGCTTTCCAGAGTCTCAGGGAAAAAGAGTTTCTTAGTCCTACTGTCAGGTATCAGGGTCTGAACTTGGTTCTTCTACATGACAAGCCCACGTCCATTTTTCTCCAAAGGACCTACACTTCTAATGGAAGTGTTCTTATTATTTCTGGGATCATTGCACATTGCCCTTATTTCACTACAGAGGGGTGTGTGTGTGTGTGTGTGTGTGTGTGTGTGTG